GCCTTGATAACCAGAATTGGGTTCGGGGGTAGGTTACGTGTAAGGAAGGTATTAAGCACCCCTACAACGCCCTCAATCGGTACCCTATGATGAAGTTAATATGATAAAAATTAATAAATTAAATATTGAATCCCCTTTATTAATATTTATTTACATATTTAAAATATAAATTAAACGATTAACCCTAAAATATCTACATTATGAAGTTTGTTATAACAAAAAAAGAGATAAAGATGAATAATAAAAGAGAGAGAAAAAGATTGACTGAAATACCTCTTGAACGAGCTTTATTGAATCTTCAAATATGGAGAAGGTGCTTTGTGGCGACCTTTCACACTACAATATGCCTCACAGATCTCAAGAAATACAATAGGAGGGAGAGAGAAGATAGAGATGCGACACAAATCTCAAGAAATACAATAGAAGGGAGAGAGATAGAGAATTTTCGTGCTCAAAGGAATCTTATTCAAAATTTCTCTGGCTGCCTGGTGAATTGTGCCCAAGGCTTCAATTTATAGGGATCAGCAGTGGGCCAGAACGGCCTGTTTCGGTTTCGGAACGACCCGTTCTGGCCCAATTATTATGTGTATATTTCGTACTCTGGAACGGACCGTTCTGAAAACGGAACGGCCCGTTCCAGAGTAGAAAATAACACGAACTTAGCCTTTCCAGAACGGACCGTTCCAAATTTGCCTTGTTTGGAACGACCCGTTCTGGTATTGGAACAACCCGTTCCACACAAAGCCTCTTTAGGTGTTTTTAGTTGTATTGAAACGACCCGTTCTGAAATTAAAACGGCCCGTTCCGGGGGTTCAGAACGGCCCGTTTCGATTTTGGAACGACCCGTTCTGACTTTGGAATGGGCCGTTCTGATTTTGGAACAGCCCGTTCCGGGCTACTAATCCATTTACTAGCTTAGAGGAGCTTTGCTACTAAATAAAGACTTGGTTTAATCAATTTTTTTATCTCTATAATATTATAAACTTTACTTTTAGTTAAAAATGTTCAATTTAGTCTTTATGCATGTCATATTTGTTCTTTTTTAATCTTTGTCTTCTATTTGTATAGGGTATAAAATTTATGAAACTATAAAGAGAAGGTACACTAAAATAAATTATTTTTAATTATAAAAACTAAAAAATAAAGTTCATGTAACTATATCAGATAAAAGAGTAACTAAAGCTAAAAATTTCTACTAAAATTGGTAAACATAACTGATTTTGGTCTTAGTCTTTAATATCAGAACAAATTACACTCACTCCATGCAATTTATTTAAATTGCACACAATACCCCGCCTCTTTAATCCATGTAGCTTATTTAAATTGTACACAATACCCAACCTCTTTAATCCTTATGGCAATTCTCCTAAATTATGTGAAAGACATTAAGCTCTTACCCCTCTCTTTCCTAAGAAACACATTACACCTAGTTTCTTATATAGTGCACTATGCTAGTATAATCTCCTTATATTATTATTTGAAAACAAAAGATATTTTAGAATTTAGAATGCAGTATGCAATATTTTTCTTGCTTACAACACAATGGCATTAAAGTATGTTTAAAAATAACATTATTTTATCTTATAGGAAATAAGTTGAAGCTTCAATGCATTTTGGGTTTGAAATATACCATCCAAGCTCTGACATGGCATAGGGAAGACCAAGAACACCAGCTCCAACCATGGCAGTAACATTGTGGAAAGCTGAGTACCACCATTTTCCATTCCTTTTAGACGTAATTGGAAGCCACTCTTCAATTTTCCTATCCCTCTCTGATTTTTCCTATTTTATCAACAAACAACAAATTAAATGAGCCTCAACTTCAAGCTACATAATGGCATAAAATCACTTAATAACAAGGGTCTATATGCTAAAAAGGAAATACAAGAAAGTGTGTAACCAATTCACAATAGAAAATCTTATGAGGCGCTACTATGAGATGGTTTAATCAAACATAACACATTACAATGTTTGGTTACCTTATAAATGCATTCTTCTAAGGAATGATTTTACACAATTCTTCTAAGGAATGTTTGGTTAAGACTTCCTCATTTTACCATTAGAGGCTCTTCCAATGATGAATTAATTTGTGTTCTTTCATTGTGGTACGAAAAGAAAAAAGAAGAAATTATACATTTTTTTCGACCATTATAAGAATTTTTATCAGCATTCATAATAATTACCGCTAAATGTTTTAGCGACACTGCATACAATGACTATTGTGAAAATACCGCTAAAAGATTTGTAACAATTTTTATTACCACTAAAAACCATATTTAAATGTTACTAAAAATCTATTTTGTTGTAGTGGATGTGAGTCTCATGTTCATTACTTTGCAAAACTGAGAAGAAATAATGAAGAATAACGCATGTCGTGCAATTTATTTGAATAATCAAAGTTTTTAATCGAATAGTAAAATATTCTATTTGAATAAGAAAATTGTTTATTCTAATAAGGTGTTTTTATATTTGAATGAATATTTTTATAATTATATAATTACTTTTATTTTTAATTAGTTGTTTGTTTTATTTCAAAAATATTATTTATTTAGTTATATATTTTTTATTTAATTGATTAAAATAAAAAAAATATTAATAAAAATTCATTTTAAAGAAATTATTTTGTATTTTTTTTTTCCTTTTTTACTTAACTTATTTATTTCTTTCTTCTTTTCATTTCTCCACACCTATTTCTAACTATTTTCATTCCTCAACTAGAAGTGTGTTGTTTATTTGAATAAAACAACTCCCTAAAAATAGTTGTATTCAAATAAATGTTATTTAATCAAATAAACAATAATTTTTTTAGTAAATAACATAAAGGTAATAATGTAATTTTGTATTAAATATAAGAAAAAAAAATGTTTTTATTCAACATATGTTTGTTTAGATGAAACAACGTGCAAGAATTTGATTGAAGGCTAATATTGTAATTTTATTAGTAATTATAATTTTTTTTCTCCATCTATTCAAACCAAATAATTTTATAATATTATTTTTTTATTTCTTACCTATTTCTCTCAAACCAAACAATCTTATTTTCATTTTATTATTTCTTAACTATTTCTACTCTTTTATTTCTCTCTCTTATATACTTCTCCACTCTATTTGTCACCTATTTCTCTCCTCACAACCCAACACAAAGTTAGTCCCTAAAAAAATTGATTGATCCTAATTTATTTATTAAACTTTGTTTGTCAATTGATTGATTGAAAAAGGGAAAAAAAATAGACATTGTTTAACCCCTTTTAAAGTAAATAAAATAACACAAGAAAAAGAATTGAATTGTGTTTTCACAATAATTAACTATTTTTGCACATATATAAGTATAAATTAGTCCATAAAATATTCGTTTATAATGAATATTTGTTTTGAGTTTAGAATGAAAATTTAATAACTTCCATAAATCAGTTGTTAGCTTAAACTAGATTTTTTTTTATCTTTTGGACTAATATGGTTATATATTATTCATGTGTGTTGTTCAATATAGTATTTTATAAATGTTTGTTATATAAAAACTGAGTTTTAGCTCTTAATAATGTAAAACAATAAAATAAAGGAAAAAAAGAGAGACACAACATATTTTATATTAGTTCATCCTAAATCCAAGGTTACATCAATCCTCACCATATACCAATGAGATATTCCACTAAAATCACCTTCCAACAATCACAATTGTGATACAACAACCTTCGTGACTGTTCAAGACACAGAGTTCGCAACTCTAACAAGATTCTTAAATCACATTGTACCCACAGTGCACTCAAAATACCTAGCACAAATCTTGGTTAGGATTTCAATTAATAGTTTTTAGATATGTGTCTGTTAAGTTAGACGAAGCAAATCCCAGCAAGATTTTGAAAGAGACAAATATAATACATGTTGTTATTTCTAACAAGTGTATTAGTGTTTCAGAAAAATATAAGTACAGACAAGTTATGAAGAATGGAACAAGAGTCACTTCATACACTGCAAAAGAAGGCATCAGACTAAAAGGCCAAAACAAGACCATAGACGAAGCCAAACTAAGCACAAGAAGGAAAATGATCCCAAGAAAGTTTAATATCAGACGAAGGCGTGTCAAGGACAACCTCAAGTGCAACATAAGAAATTAGACGAAGCATGGGCCAAAGATCAGAAGAAAGTCAACTACGCATCAGACGAAGGACATCACAGACTAAAAGATATCTCAGATAAAAACAAAGTCTGTCCATCTGTAATGTTGACCAAACCAAAAGAGAATCAAAGCATTAATGTCAAATGCTCAGACGAAAATCATAGATTGAGACGCATAAGACTAACAGACGCAGACGAAGACAACCATGAAAGCATTTAAAGAATCATGTCTCCAAGGACAACTCAAGCATCGTCTACAATCATATAAATGCTCTCAACATGATAGCGTGATGAAAGAAGAAGAAGAAAAGCACGCAAAAGCAAAAGCATGCATGTGTCAGAAAAAGTACATTACTTTTTTAGATATATAGCCACCAACACAACCAAATTCATCACACCCAAGCAACCCAACCTGTATATGCTACACCTCTTAAGCCTAGCCCAATTCGTACACCTGCCATCTCACAGTGACCCTTGATTGCAACAAATACACAAGAATACGACCAAGAAAAGAAGAGAGAAAAACATCTCACTTTGATTCACGGTGTAGAACATAATCGAGTAGTCAAACACACAACGACCAAAAAAGGACAAAAAAATTCCTAGGTCTCAGCTAAAGATAGGCACAGTAGCTAACAAATGAAGAAGACTTCACGCAATGCCTACAAACAAGAAGCAACATTTAATGCAAGATCTTGAGCATTAAATAAAAAGATCGAACTAGTCATGAACGATTATATATATCTGCTTCAACGGACACTTGCAATGGGTAAATTCTGCAGGACAATATATATATCACTACTTCAAACCTTGAAAGGTTGGCTTTTGTGCAAACAAGAAAAAGGTGATATCAAGCCCATGAATACTGGATGCGATGCAACGCAATGGTCAAAGGATGGCTAAAAAGTGCCATGGACAAGGAAGTTAGGAGCAGGGTCAAGTATGCCACCACTGCTTGTGAAATCTGGGAAGAACTTGAAGAAAGGTTCGCGAAAGGAAGTGCACCGAGGGTGTACGAGCTGAGACGGACCATGACACTTCTTAGACAAGAGAAACTTTCAGTACCTTCATATTACACAAAACTAAAAGGTTTATAGGATGAAATACAATCCATAGCACCTTGGCCCAAATGCACGTGTGGGGGATGCAAATGTGACGTACAGAAGAGGCTCATGCAGATGCGGGAGAGAGATCAACTCTATGACTTTCTCATGGGGTTGGACGATGTTTTTGGGACAGTTAAGACACATATTCTCAGTATGACACCCGTCATTAGCCTTGGTCATGCGTATCATCTTGTAGGAGAGGTTGAACAACAAAGGTTGATTTCAGTCATGCACAAACCCACCACTGAACCAGTAGCATTTCAAACGCAGAGTGTACGCTACAATAAAGAAGGCACGAAAAGAATAGATTGGAGAAAAAAGAAGCTGAAGTGTGAACATTGCCAAAAGATGGGTCACACCGAAGATAAATGCTATGAGATAATTGGCTATCCACCAGATTGGGGGAAGAAGAATAAAGAAAGGAAAGACAATAGAGGTGGACCCAAAGCAGCTCAAGTCGTCACCACGGAAAGACCAATTCCAGGTCTGTCAATGCAACAATATGAGCGACTCATGCAACAACTCAAAGGGGATGCTGAACTTGTAGTGACAATTCTACAATCAAAACCCAATATGAACATGGCAAGTAAGATCATATTCACAAAACCTTGGGTAATAGACTCAGGCGCAACAGCACACATCACCTGTGATAGTGCCCTGTTAATAGAAGAGCGTTTCACCAATCAACAACCTGTTAAGATTCCAAATGGCCAAAATATCCTAGTCAAGAGCATTGGGATAACAGAGCTACCAAATGGGGTGAAAGTGAATAATGTGTTAAACATACCGGATTTCAAATGCAATTTACTTTCAGTCAGTAAGTTAACAAGAGAACACAATTGTGCACTAACATTTGTTGATGATTTGTGTGTAATACAGGACTTAACTACGAGGACCCTGATTGGAGTGGGTAGGCATCGGGATGGCTTGTACCTCCTTGAGCCAATACAAGACGGAGTAATGGAAATAAAGGTGGATAGGTCAATAGATGAAAGCATTTGGCATTGGAGGCTCGGACATGCATCAGAAACCAAGATGAAACAAATTGAACCACTTTCTGATGTAGTTAGTAATAATAGTTTTATGCATTGCGATTCATGTATAAGAGCAAAGCAAACAAGATTGCCTTTTCCTTCTAGTTCAATAAAGTCAAATTCATGTTTTGATTTAATACATTGTGATGTATGAGGGCCCTATAATACTGCATCATTTTCTGGTGCACGTTATTTTTTATCCATTTTGGATGACTTTAGTCGAGGAGTTTGGGTATATCTTATGAAGCATAAATCAGAAGTTGAACATCATTTGCCAACATTCATACACATGATTGAAACACAATTTGGAAAAAAAATTAAGAAAGTAAGGACAGATAATGGACTAAAGTTTAAATCAAGTCATATGCAAAATATTTATAAAGAAAAGGGAATAATGATGGAGACAACGTGTACATACACACCCCAACAAAATGGGGTGGTTGAAAGAAAACACAGATATATCTTAGAAGTGGCTCGAGCATTAAGGTTTCATTCTGGACTGCCTATTGAATTTTGGGGTGAATGTGTGCTTACTGCAGTACATATCATCAACAGATTGCCATCAAAAGTAATAGGCAACAAGACTCCATATGAAAAACTAATGGGGAAGAAGCCAAACTATGAGCACTTGAGGGTGTTTGGATGTTTGGTATATGTCTTGAAGAACAAGAAGGAAGGGAAGTTTGATGAAAAAGGGAGAGCATGCGTATTCATGGGATACCCGAGTGGACAAAAGGGATACAAAGTTTATGATACTGAAAAGAAAGAAATACAAATCTCAAGGGATGTGATATTTTGTGAGGATGAATTTCCATTCAAGGCCGAAAAGACAATCATGCTCAAACAAGTGACTCCACCTGTGTTCGAAGAAACTGAAGACATAATGACAAGAGAGGTGAAGTGCTTGGTAGAACAAGATGTAGAAGAAACAAGGGGAGAAAGTGCCCATGAGGAAAATCATGATGTTGAATTATTGCAGGAAAGGAACACAGTAAGTGGGAGTGTTGAGAATGAACACAATAAAGAGAGTCGCAGTAGAAGAATGAGACATCCACCAAGACACTTAGAAGAGTATGAAGTTGACCTACCACCCTCCATTACACGGTTCCAGTCTGACCCTCCATCAGGTAACTCAGTAGTGTATCCTGTATCAAGTTATTTATCCTATGATAAGTTTTCACATTCACATAAAGCTCTCTTGGCGGCCATCTCCCTTCATAGAGAACCAAAGAATTTCTCTCAAGAAGTAAAGCATGAATGCTGGAGGGAGGCAATGAAGAAAGAAATAGAGGCGTTGGAGAAAAATGAAACATAGACATTGGAGGCACTTCCACCAGGAAAGAATGTTTTCGATTCAAAATGGGTATTTAAAATAAAATACAAACCAAATGGTGAGATAGAATGCTATAAAGCAAGACTCGTGGCAAGAGGTTTTACTCAAGTTGAAGGGGTAGATTTTCATGAAACATTTGCACCACTAGCAAAGTTAGTAACAGTGCGATGCCTATTAACCATAGTAGCAACAAATGGGTGGGAAATTCACTAACTTGACGTGAACAACGTATTCTTGCATGGAGAATTAGAAGAAGAAGTATACATGCGTATACCCCAACGTATTCAGGCAATCCAGGGCAGACCATTCCTTATTCATTTACAAATAGGAGGGAGTGTTTCTAGTTGCGCTAATATATGCAGATGATGTTATATTGGTCGGGAACGAGCAAGAAACCATGCAACAAATGAAGAATTATTTAGATAGAGAGTTTAGCATCAAAGACTTAGGGACATTGAAGTATTTTCTTGGTGTTGAAGTAGCTAGGTCATCTCATGGCATATTTCTTAGCCAAGGAAAATATGTATTGGACATATTAAAAGAAACGGGGATGGGGATGCAAGGATGCAGGCCAAGCAAGTTTCCAATGGAACAAAATTGCAAATTACAAGCAAGTGATGATGAACAAGATACTGATGTCACAAGATACAGAAGGTTAGTGGGGCGTCTACTCTATCTAACAGTAACAAGACCAGATATCACATATGCAGTCAATACATTGTGCCAGTTTGTGACAACACCAAAACAAAGACATATGGATGCTGTAGAAAGGGTACTGTGCTACTTAAAGTCAACTCCAGGGCAAGGAATATTGCTTAAAAGTGGTGCTGAATTGAGGCTAGAGGCATATTGTGATGCAGACTGGGGTGGATGTCCCTTCACCAGAAGATCCTGTACAGGATATATGATTATGCTAGGAGGGTCACCTATTTCATGGAGATCAAAAAGGCAAATAGTGGTAGCAAAGTCATCAGCAGAAGCAGAGTACAGAGCCATGGCAGCAACAGTCAGTGAAGTAATATGGTTAAGATGGTTATTGACAGAACTAGGGGCATCACAGCAGGAAGCTACTACCATGTTCTGTGATAATCAAGCGGCATTACATATTGCTATGAATCCCGTTTTTCATGAAAGGATGAAGCATGTAGAAATGGATTGCTATTTTGTTCCAGAACGAGTTCAATCAGGAGAAATAATGCCTACAAAGATTTGGACGAAGGAACAGGTAGCAGACATGTTCACAAAGCCGTTGGGAAAAGACAGATTTGAATCCCTACTCAGCAAGTTGGGCTTTGCAAATCTTCATGCACCAACTTGAGGGGGAGTGTTGGTATAGATAAGGATAAATATATTTTTGATAAGGCTGAATTTATTTTGATAAAGCTGTTACATTTATTTTGATAAGATTAGATTAGAAACAGAAAATTAGGAAACTGTTTCTGAATTAGCTATTTGATTATTTTGTATAAATGTATAAGCTGGCTACGTTGAAATAATAAGAAAATCAGATTGCTTATTTTCTACAAGAAGGGAGAAACATTAGCTATCAAGATACTGGAAGAAGCATACCAAACAAGTCTTGCTTCTTGCAAGAACAGACTTCATGGGAGAGTCATTCTTACCAAGGGACAAACTCCATTTAAAAGTGAGGAGCTGCAGCAGAAATTGAATCAAATATGGAGTCAAATTTCAGGCTGGAAAATGGTGTCTTTCGGTAAGGGATTCTTTGAGTTCTCATTCACCAAGAAGGAGGATATTAACATGGTTCTTGCATCCAGTTCTTGGATGCTAAATCTTGGCATTTTAAGGCTATTTTTGTGGAAGCCGGATTTCAATCCAAGATTGCAAAAGACTTCATATGCTCAAGTATGGCTGCTTTGACCTCCCTTTGGAATATTGGGTGCCTCGGATTCTATTCTCCATTGCAGCAAGTGTAGGAGACCCTATCTTGATTGATAATGCAAACTTAAATCAATCATACGAGCACTTTGCAAGGGTGCTTGCAGAATTCAATCTTGCTGGTGATTTTATGGACCAAATTCTGGTTGAAAGGGAAGGATATGCATTTTATGTCTCTCTTGTATTTGAAAAGCTTCCTGACTTTTGCTTCTCATGTTTTAATATTGGACATAGTGTGGCTAATTGCATAAATCTTAAGCATTCCAAGAAGGAAGGTGCCAATGAAGATCTTCGTGCAAAGCTCAATAAGAAATCTGATACGGATAAGGCTCCCCGAAAACCAGTTGTTGGTGCCAATTGGAAAATGGCTGGTGCAGTGCATAATGATTCAGCAACTTTTGGTCCAGATATGCACAAGCCAAATGATGATTTAATGCTTGATGAAGTATTGGAACTAGCTGCAGCAGCTGAGAACACCAATATCAATGTGGCTGCACCACCGAAACAGCCCCTAAATATAGTAGAAAATGATGCTACTGATTCTGACTCATGCTCAGAATCTGGCTCTCTGGCCTCATCTAGACCAGTACAACAACCTAACAATGGTAACCAGGAGCATGATGCTAACACCTCAAACTTACATGTGCAGGTGCAGCAGCAAAATAACCCAGCTAAATTGTCTTAAGATCAATCTGGTTATGCACGGCCAGCTGCAGTTTCAACACACCAGTCTGAATTTCTGGACGTACCTCATGGCCCAGACCAAGTCCATGACTCTCCCAAAAACTCATTGGAAGGAATGCCTACTTTGGAGGATGATTTTGATGACTCAGTTCAGCATGACTTGGCCTTAATAGCTGTAGCCACTACACCGGATTTCCAGCCAACAAGTAGCAAACAAAATAAGAAGAAAAAAACAGCTCTAATGTCAAACCAGCCAGTAAGACCAGATCCAAATTGGCTAAGTCAAAATAGCCTATTACTGAATTTCATAATGATCATGATGTGGTTTTTTGATATAATCATTTGGATTACTTTCTTTCATGTTTTATGGCAGCCAGTCACAACGAAATTCAATTCTCAGCTCCTTGCATATTCAGCTTTTTGGTTCGGTGGCTGCAGGCTTTAATTTTGCTCTCTTGGCTCACTTTAATTCGGTTTATTCTTCCCACTTTTTGACTGTTTTTATTGCACCCTCTTTGGTGGAATTATCTTGCATATTAATTAGTTCTAATTGTTGTCATGCTTGGTCCCGTAATGGAGGAGTTGTGTATGCTATATGTACTGCTGAAATTGACTCATATTTTTAAGCATGAAATTTCTATTTTGGAATATCCGGGGCATTGCTTCTAAGGATTCACAAGCTCCTCTAAAATCATATTGTTATAAATATAAACCGGATTTTCTATTCATTGCTGAACCTATGACTTAAGTTTCTAAAATTCAACCATCTCTTTGGAGGGATCTTGGATTAAATTTTTTTGCTGAAAATAGGTGTCTTCCAAAGAGCACCATTTGGTGTTTTTGCACTCCCTCAATGTCTCCCACTACTATTTCTTTCTCTGACCAATTTGTCTCCTTCTCGTACTCCATTGGTTCAAATACTTTTTTGGTTGTTGTATGCTATGCTAGCACTAACTACAGAAAACGTAGGAATTTATGGAGTGATCTAATTTCTGTTCAGAATAATAATCCGGGAGCTTGGGTGTGGTTGGGAGATTTCAATGAAATCATTAGCCATGAAGAAATACAGGGGTGTTGGCCACCCTTATTTGGCATCTATGAATGATTTTGTTACATTTAAGGACTCTTGCCAACTATTAGACATTACCTGCCTGGCCCTGCATACACATGGACTAATAATCGATCTGGACCTGCTAGGACGGATAAAAAACTAGATAGATTCATGTGTAATGATTTATTCCTATCTCTTTGGACAAGAATCTCTGGTCTTGTACTACATAGAGTAAGATCTAATCATCATCCGATTATGTTAAGTAATCTCAACGAATCTCACGCCTCCCCATTTAAATTCTTATCCATATGGATACAACACCTAGATTGTCGGAACATTGTGTCTAAGGCCTGGAATACTGTTGTCTTAGGTAATCCTATGCAAATTCTATCCTAAAAACTTAAGCTTGTAAAAGATACTTTACAAGTTTGGAACAAGAATACATTTGGCAATGTTCATGATAAGGCTAATTCCTCATCATCCAACTTAGCCAAAATTCAAGACTTGATTGCCTCCTCTGGTTATTCTGAATCCTTAATTAAACAAGAACAGCAAGCTATGATGGATCTCGAACTTGCACTCTCATATGAGGCGTCCTTTTGGAAATAAAAGGCAAGGGTCCAATGGCTAACCAATAATGATAGAAATACTCAATTTTTTCATAGAAAGTTTAAATTGAGATTTGCTATTAATAATATCTCATTCTTAAAAAATGGTAGTGAACTTTTAGATAGTCCTATCATATTATAGATCACCTCCAGTCCCTATTCTCGAAATCGGAATTGGTTCATAATTGCATGAATTTTTTAGAAGTTATCCCCAAAACTATTTCCTTAGCTGATAATATGAAACTTACTTGTCCACCATCCTTGGAGGAGGTGAGATCTGCTATCTTTGAACTTTCTCCTAATAGCTCCCCTGGTCTTGATGGTTTTCCTGGATCTTTTTTCCAATGCTTATGGAATATCATTGGAATGGATGTCCACAAAGCTGTCTTGTATTTTTTTCATCATGGATCAATATGCTCCAATTATAACTCTTCACATCTTATTCTAATTCCTAAAGAGCCTAGTGCCGATGAAATTGGAAACTTCCAGCCCATTGCTTTGTCCAATTTTAAATATAAGATCATTTCAAAAATTCTTTCCAAGAGACTGGAATCTGTCATTGAGAAAGTAGTCTCACCTCATCAAAGAGGCTTCATCCCTGGTAGAAGCATCACTGACTGTATTGCACTAACTTCTGAAGCTGTAAATCTTTTGGACAATAATTTTTATTATGGGAATATAACTCTAAAAATAGATATTAGCAAAGCTTTTGATACCTTGGATTGGAGCTTTATGATAAATGTTCTCAAGGCTTTTAGTTTTTGTGATATTTTCTATCATTGGATTGAGTCCCTCCTTAAGTCTGCCAAGTTATCTATCCTCATTAATGGATGTCCATTTGGTTTCTTTCCCTGTAAGAGAGGGGTTAGACAAGGTGATCCCATATCTCTATTGCTTTTTTGCATTGCTGAAGAGGCTTTAAGTAGAGCTTTACTTGCGCTAGTGGATTCTGGAAAAATCAACAGATTCGAAGGGGCTAATAATATACCTTTTCCTTCACATGTTCTATATGCTAATGATATCATGATCTTTTGTAAGTGTTCTCTGAAAAATATATCACAAATAATGGAGTTGCTTTGTGCATATGGTAATATTGCTGGTCAAAGAATAAATTTGAATAAATCCAAATTTTATGTCAAAAATAATATGCCCCCAAAAGAGGATTGAACGTATACATCTTTGTTTAGGCTTTACAAGAGGTAGTCTTCCTTTTAGATATTTAGGAGTTTCGATCTTTAAAGGAAAGCCAAAATCTTCTTTCCTACTACCCATTGTTGATAGGATCAAAAGCAAATTAGCAAAATGGAAAGGAAATCTGTTGTCTTATATGGGACGTGTGTTATTGATTAGATCTGTCCTCCAAAGTATGTTAATCCACAGTTTTCAAATTTATAAGTGGCCTGTATCGCTGTTGAAATTAATTGAGTCTTGGTTTAAAAATTTCATATGGACTGGAACCATTTTACATTCCAATCCCAACACTTTGGCATAAGGTTTGTTCAGATATAGAGGAAGCTAGGCTTGGAGTTAGATCTCTTTTTGAGATCAACAATGCATATATGTTAAAACTTTGTTGGAATTTTTTCAAAGGGAATTCGGATTGGGCCTCTATTTTAGGAAACAGAGTGGCTAAAAAAAATGGCACCGTGGCACATTACTTGACATCCACAATCTGGGCTAGTATTAGAGAAATGTATTCTACTGTTAAAACTCACTCGTCTTGGATTATAGGAAATGGCAAAAAGGTCAAATTTTGGACTGATAAGTGGCTTTCTATGCCTATTGTTGACATAATGAATATTCATGCCTCTTTCCATTCCAAGTTTAAATGCTCAGTCAATTGCTTCCTAAAAAATGGATCTTGGCACCTTCTTACCTCCATTCAAAGCAGGATTGGTAACCAGATCGATAACATAACTATCCCTCTTTGTGAATTGGAAGATTCTTTAAATTGGGATTTATCCCCTAATGAGGATATGACTTTCAAAGATGCTTATGCCTTTATTAGGCAACCCAAGCCTAAACTTAACTGGGCTAAAACAATTTGGGATAAATCTACCCCTTCTTCCAAGTCTT